TTTTTAAATTAAAATTTTAATTTATTTTAAAAATAGAGACACTAATATATTATGTTTTATAATATACTATAGTATAAAAGTACAATATAATGATATATCATTATAATTACATCATTTCGCTTGTTAAAAAAGCTAAATTTTTTAGGAAGTTGTGAGGATGGTGATGTTGATTTTGATGATAGAATGACGACATGGGTATTTAAAACGAGATAAAGATGGGTGCACTGCGGATCAAGTATGTCAGACACTGTTCTGGTTTCGTATCTTACAAGATTTATTAACCGACCCCCAAATAAAAAAAAAAAAAAGTCTGTGAATTTCAACAGCCCACCACCTCGAAGGGATAAATAAAATTTCACGATTTTACTCAACGTAGAAGTAATAAGCCCGTGAATTTCCTCCTGAAAAGATGATTGAGTTTTAGCTAAACCAAATGGACTCTATAGCCCAATATGGTGTCTCATCTCATGGGCTTACAAAAGCAGAGCTTATTATTTGTTATTTTACCAATGATTATGGGGCTAATGGACCTATGGAACCGTAATCAATGTAAAGATAACTCCAGCAGAAGGAATTTATTATTTCGGGTGCATGTATGTCGTAATTAGTGGCGTGTCTTCATGGGAGTTAATAATGCAATAAGTAATAGATTTTTGTAATTTGTGGTCTTAGAATATAAGATAAAAGTTTTTTTTATTAAATGTATATAAAAAATATAAAAGTTGATATTAATTTTAGTATCAAATGAATTTAATTGGATAATTAATAAATTAAAAATTAATTTTTATTTTGTCAATACAAATTTATGATGAAAATATTTTTTTTTGTATATTTTATTATAAGTTATACAAAAAGAGGTAACTTTTTCTTATTTTAAAATCCCTCAACATTTGACTCAAAACTGAAACTTGAAATAACGAATTTGAAATGTCAAGTTATTAACCATTTAACCACTCCATTGGGGTTACGAAAGGATATATTTCACATACTCTTAAGGTTAGACAAACTCATAAGTAATTAAGAACTTTACCTAGTGCCTACTTATTAATTTGAAAATGGCCTAGTCACCATCCTCTAAGAGGTGTAGTGTTTAAGACATCAAAATCCTGGGTTTAAACCCAAGCACTCACTCCCCTAACCCCAAGTTTCCCTAGTTCAAAAAAAATAAAAATTTTAATATATAATATATTTAGTTTTAAAAAAATAAATAAGAAAAATTTAAATATTACAATTTAAGTAGTTAAAAAATCCATTCATTTTCTTTGCTTTATTTTTCTCAAACCAATCATATTATTATTAGAATTAACGTTAAAGGTTTGTAAGTGTAGTAGTTGTTGGGTTGTAGGTGACGAGGAGATAACGAGTTAGTGATGTAAATGATGTGAAAGCTGGTAAGGATGTCACCTATAAGAAATGGGGAGGGTCCTTTGAATGGCTCTTGTTTCATGTGCGAGAAGCTACGTGTCATGGGCCATCTCACTCTGCCCAATGAAGATAGTCAGCAACAAGTTCCCCAACAGAGTTTGGAACTGTAAATTTTCTAACCACGCCGAGAGAGTTGGGCAACAATGACAAAGCTTCAAGAACTAATAATGATTACATAACTACCAAAAATGACGAAAAGGAGATGTACATTGTTGTGTACATTGTTGTAGGAGCAGCAAGGATAGAAAATATATAAGGATTAAATATTACAACTTAGGAAGCATATTTATTCATAGTATATTGTAGCATAATAGTAAAAATAATGAATGTGCTCTTTATTATTCTTGATAAATACTCCTACTCTATAATGAGCAACCCTCATGTCGTAGGTGAAAAACATAATGATTCCCTTCAATCTTTAACAAGACAGAAGGAATAAACTTGAAAATAGCAATGGGAGGAGGAAAGATGACCATTGTGGGGGCTTGTGAATGGAGGGTTTGATCCCATTTTTATGCTAACTCCTCAGCTTCATCCTCTTATGCTTAAGAAAATAACCAAAAAACTGAAATTAAAGCATGCGATCTCCCAACCATGATATTCTACGAGCTAGAAAGTGTTCTACAATATTGGAAGTGCAGAAAATATAATAGAAATGGTGATTTCTAGGTATTTTTGGTGTATATGGGGTGAGGTTGAAAATGAATGATTTTTCAGAGGAAAAATGGAAGTCTGGTGCTTGAGGAAAATAGTTGGAGTTATGAAATCAATTCTGATCTACTGAAAAAAGAAGGAAAAATAATATATATGTGTAATGGTATTTTTGTAATTTTTGGTTGATGGGTCAAAGGTGCACAGTGGCCTAATGGGTATATTTGGATGAGCTGTCAAGTTTTGAGTGGCTCTAGATACTGTTGACAGTTTTTTGGAAGTGATATTATGAATTTTCCAATGGTTCTAGCAAAGCACTGCTAATTTACTGAAAACTGCACATTTTTGGTAACTCTCCAGCCATACAAAAGGCCAATTTTGGGAGGGGGTATTTGAGTGCAGCTAGCAAAATGTAATCATTTTCAACAGTTACCAAGGCAATGGAACATGTGCAACCACCCTTTTCAATCGTTTCCAATATAGTGTAACTTGTGCAGCTATCTTTACATTAAATACAACTACAACTTGCTGATGGGGACAGAAACAACATTTTTGGTTGGTTTTTAACGAGATTTTAAGCTTTTAGTTAGCATCAAATGGTATGATTTTGGGATCAAGCTCAGCCTCCATTTCTTCGCCACCCAACCCTTTATGGTGAAGTTAGGTAACATCACCAACTCCAAGCTTGGCTGGTGCGAATGCCTCACTTCACCAGATGGGCAACGTTCATCCATCCATGCTTGCCAAGCCACTATTCCACAATTTATCTCAAATAATCCCCATGAGCTTGAAGTCATGGGTTTGTTGATGATTTGTATATAGAAATAGTGATCGGTTGATGAAAATGATAAAATTTAATAAATAAGGAAATAATAAAAAAAGAGACTTTTTTATGTATATATGACGATGCAGTCATGTACTATTACATTAGTTATTATTAAGTCTTTTGGTAAAAGCACATTAGAAGCATTAATAGGCACTTAGATCAAGGCAAGTCTTAGTGACGTAAAAACTACCTAAATTTGAATTTGACCTTTTGCAAAAACGTTCATCAACAATAGTTAGCTCATAATTCGTCAAAATAATCTCCTAATAACTCATCTAAAAATTGGTTTTTGAAAGGAAAAATTGTCATGCAATTTAAATTGGATTGGACTATACAATAGAAGCCATTTGATGAGGGATAAATATTTAATAGTAGGTTTTTGTTTATTTAATAATTCTAATTTATAATTTGATAGGGTATGAATTACAAAATAAGAAATATTAAAAAAATTATTTTTTATAATATTAAAAATTAACTACTTGATATTACATAAGTTTAAATTTTTTTAATTTTAATTTTCAATAAAAAAATTTTAATTAATAAATATCAATATAGAGCTTGTATTGATTAACCAACAAAATCATAGATAAACCCACCTGGGAACTACAAAGTAGCAACCGAGCTAACTCTTTAAAGGCAAAACATGCAAATTACCCCTTTAACTTCTTGTATGGTGGCAAATTGCCCCTTTAACTGAATTCACGGGCAAACTAACCCACAAACTCATTTTCGGTGGCAAAAAAGCCCTTCTATACATTATTTTGTTAAAATTAACGTTGGCCTCATTACGAGGGCCCCACTTGACAATTCTCACTCCACCTCATCAAATTTAGATTAAAAATATTAAAAATCCATTGCCTATTTTCCAAAAAAAAAAAAAAAGATTAAAAAACAATAATCAATGAAAATTTTAAGTTAAGCTTCAAAATCCTTCGAATTTACCAAACATGCCCCCAATCCCTCACCAACCATCTTCTGCAGATTCTTATTCCAATAATAGAACATGGGGCCAATAGCAAGAGTGAAACCCAGCTAAAGTTTATACCCATTTGATGGAGTTTATACCCATTTTGATGCCCAAAACCAATTTACAAACCAGATCGGTAACTCCTTTTTCTTGTTCATCTTCTTCTTTTCTTCCCTCTTTTCTTGTTCCTTCTCCATCTAAGGCTATTTTGTCCCATTTACGACTCAACGATTGCCAATCGACAAGCCCGAAACCAAATCAGATAGTGAAATCCAGCCATGCAAAAGCTACATCATGTCCCATTGTTCCATCAGCGGCGAAACCATGCCAAACGAAAGCAACACCACCGGGTTCGGAAAAGAACAAAATGAGAGGAGAAAGAAGGTAGTGCAGGAGACGAAGAGCGGAGATATTGAGGCGGAGACGAAGGGGGTCAATGGTGAGGAATAGTAGAGAAAAAGGCTCTTATTGTGGTGGTTTTTTGTGAGCAAAGGTGAATTTTGCAGGGACATCTAGATTAAGTTGAGTTCCCTAATGGAAGAAAGAAGATAAGTTAATTTGGTTAATTACCAATTAATTAATGTTTAATATTTACCATTTAA